CTTTTTTTTCCCAACATGCTTTCTTGAAGCACTCTAAATGCCAAGGCAACTTTTTTTCCTTCCGTTAAGAAGCAAGGTTTGCTTGTCGAAAACAAAAAAAAAATAAATAAATCCTTACGCACTGTACCAAAAACAGCAAAACATAATTTGCTATTTAAAAAAAAAATAAACACCTACATTTTTAGGGGGTAATAATGATTTTAAAATTTTTTAAATCTTAAAATTATTCTAATAATATAAATAAAGAATATGAATTAATAAAACAAAAATATAAAAAAAATGATTAAATTTTTTTAAAAACTACTATTTTATAAATGTAATCCTTAAATTTCTCTCTAGAATGAAGAAAATTATTTTCATTTCTAATTTTTCTGTTCTCCTAGGAAATATAGCCTTGAAAGGTATCAAATTTCACACAAGGGCGGAATTTTCCATGAGGAAACACAAAAAGGAACACAAAAGCTTCATTCCCATTGGCTGATGGTTTGTCAATGAAGAACCCATGAAAATATAACTCCCTAAATGTTTCTGCTGTCCTCAGAAAAATAGCCTTCAAAAAAATCTTATTTTCCATTATATATTAGGGATTAGGGTTTTTGGAATTTTTAAACCTTCTTCAATATTCTACTGTCCTATTACAAATGTTTACTAAAAGAAACATTATTAACCACAACAATGGCTTTATCTGTCACTGAACAATAGTCAACATCTCTATTTTCCTCTACTATTATTGTTCTCGTTAAGTTTTTCTATTAATCTTCCCCTCAACGCACTATAACAAAAGTCTCTTTTTTAAATTAAAATTTTTTTTTCCTATTTTCCCTTCTTGTTAATCACCATAAAAATATTATTAAAATTAAGTTATGTAGGTAATTTTAATTTATATTATTATTATTATTTTTATTTTTTAAATTTATTGTTCATATTTTTAGAATTCGGAAAGGGGTGTTAAAATCTACTTCTTCTCCTGCTTTCCTATTAGGAAAAACCTTGACAGGGAGAGATCAAATTTCACCGGAAAAATAAATCTTTTGTTAGAGGGTTGGCCTTCAACGTCTCCCTATTTAGTGTAAATGACCTGAAAGATCCCAAAACTCAACGAAGTTACAGAAATACCATCTCTGCATCTTCTACAATTTTAGATCTTTAGATTTTTTTTAAAAATTTTTTTACTATTTTTGAGTTATACTTCGATAAAAGTAGAAATTACAATCTACTTTCATAGAAGCATTATAGTAATAAAGAATTACAATTATTTCTATTTATTTTTCTCTATACTTCCCTAAAATTGTCGTCTGCTGTTGCTTAATGCCAACCCTTAAGAAAAAAAAAATACTTTTCAATATATATACTTCCCTGGTAACAAACACATTATCAAAACTAATACTGGGGTACAATAAAATTCCAACCCCCCTATTGAGAAATAGAAATACACTAAAATTTCTTTCTACTTTCCTAATAACATAACCACGTTAAAAAATTTATTATTCTAAAAATCTCTCTTAACTGAAACTTTTCTTAAAAAAAAACTCCGATAACCTTTCTACATTCCTAATAATAAAAAAAAATCAAAGACGCTGCATCCCATAAGGAAGAATCATAAAGAAATTTGGTAAAAAAAAGTATTCTACCCAAAACGTTCTGCTTGCCTAATAACAATTCTACATATGATCTTTGAATGTATTCAAAAATAAGTCCCATTTCGTGGAAATTTTTCAAATTATCTCCCACAAGTGACAAATATTAAACATACTTTATGTATAATAATATTAAATATTTAAAAAAAAAAAATATATATATATATATTACAGGTGTTTAAAAATCTAAAATCATATATGTTTTCCTAATAAGAACTATGGGACAAAAATAGACGTTGAGGAAAATTTAGTGATTTTAAAAACTAGACAAACTTTCTAGTTGATTCTAGTTTCCTAATACTGATTGAACTTTGTTCCTTGTTTGACGAGGTTTGACCTTCTTTTTTTAAATAGTCGAAATAAAGTACAGGTACTTCTTTTCTACAAAAGGTTTATCTGTTTAACAATAGATATTAGATTAGATACAAATTAATTCTATTCCGATGTTATATTTGCCATACAAAAAAAATATCGAATTGATACCGAACATATCAAATTTTTATAAAAAAAAGAATATTTTTGGTATCAATTTGATACTTTTAAATGAGTGTCAGTTACTTTTAAAGTTATTCTAACCCTTAAAGAATCTTCTATTTTTTTGTTTAGCTATTACTATTATCTAAATAAAAATCATGAATTATCAAAATCAATGTTCATAAATCAAAAAATTTTTGCCCTTAATTCTATTTTTTAAAAATCTAAATATAAAATCATCAAAATTAAAGATTCAGCAAGGAATCCATTTTTTATAATATATCAGAGCAGAGAAAATAACAATATTACTCATTTGAAATTGAGAAAAAAATTTTTCATTCTTATTTTCCTTACTCTCCTTTCAAAATGGTACACTTTTTACACCTGCGATGGAAGTTTCAAAGATATGTTGTAAATTTTCTATCGAAAAAAGTAGAAGAAAACATTGAGGGTAGAAAATAAACTCGAAGACAAACTGAAGTTTGCTACCTGCATTGAAATTGTAAACTCTCCATCTCCTAAAAACTTCAAGATTTTCTACTTTCCTAGTCGTAATAACTTCACGAAGTTAAAAACAAAAAAAAATATATTGCACCAGCGCGAAAAGAATTAACGTCCTTTTTTTTTGTTTTGAAAAATAGAGAAATATTTTAGGAAATTTGAAAGAAAAATTTTGAAAAAAATTCTTTGAACTTATTTGTTAAATAAATAAATTTTTCAATAAATAAATTAATTTTTTTTTATAATTTCTTTTAATTGTGAAGATAAATACTATATATGTAAAATAATTTATTACCAGTATAAAGAACATTAATTTCTATTTCTATCCTCAATTTTGTTATTTAAATTTTTTTTAACGATGAAAAAGAAAAAAAGAAGAAAAGCAGAAATCACAAAATTAGAATTATATTTCATTGGTAAATTTAGTATATGAAGTACAACACTTCTTGACAGTACAACAACTGTTTTGACTAAAATTTAGAAATACCCTAAAAACTGTCGGAACTTTTTCTAAATTCTACTTTCCTAATAAGAAAATTTAAATTTTTTGGTTCAGGAAAATATTCTAGAATCTAGTTTCAATTTTTTAATGATCCTAAATACCACGACAACTTCAAGCTCATAATTACATTAGATCACAAAATAACGTCAAAATTTTCATTATTTAAAAAAAAATTTTTTTATTATTACATATTTTTATTAGTATTTTTATTATTATTATTATTATTATTATTATTATTATTATTATTATTATTATTATTATTATTGCTGTTGTTATTGTTTTTAATGTAAATCAATAGAATTTTTAATGGAAGTACAAAAAAATTGAGTTTAAATAGCAATTTTGAATGAAACAAAATTGAAAAGAATTTTATAAAAAGGACTTAAATCCCTCAAAGGCTCTAAAAGAGGAACGTGAAAATAGTTTCACTTCTAAATAATCCTATTATCCTGGGAATCCGATCAACCATAAGGGTTCGATTATTATCTTATCTCATTTTCACAAAGCAATATATATATACAGGGTGCAACAAAAACTAACTTTCTATATATATATAAGAAACTTCCTCAATTTTCTGCTCCCCTAAGAAAAAAACCCATATAAAATAAACACAAACACTATTATACAGATTAAGTGAGATTAGTTTCTCTTTTTAAATCCCCTCTTAATATATAGTATCGAGTATATAGTACAGAAACTACTAGATTCTTTTTTAAAAATTTTAAACATTATCAACGTAAATTGAAAAAATTTTTCAAATAAAATAATTTAAAAATGTAAAATTTAATTATAATTCAATTTCATTTATATATTTTTAATTATTTCTCTAATAATGTAAGCCACAGTAATTGAAAAGTATCAAATTAATGTCAAAAATATCAAATTGATAGGAATTTTTATATTAATTTGATATTTTTTGTATCAATTTGATACTTTTAAATTAGTGTCAGGTATAGAAAGGTTCTAAAATTATTATTTATCTCTCAAAATCATCCCATAGTTTCCTAATAGGAAATATGCTTCAAGTGGAACATTTTAACATAACTAGTCTAAAATCCCATATTATTATATTTTTTTTTTAGAAACTAACTTCTTATTGTATTCTACTTTCCTAATACCAATTCCGATATGAAAAACTAACATCAAATTTATATTTAGTTGCAAGGAATGAATGTAGGCGGCGGGTCAGTTTGAAATTTCATTTATTCGCATTCATGCAAATTGAATTTTATGTGATTTGCATTTTTTTTTTTTTTTTTTTTTTTTAAAGACAAACAAACCGACAGCAAAGATTTTGAATAATTTTTTTCACAATTGACTACAATACGAATTTTAATTAAAAAAAAAAAAAAAATTATGATTGGTCGAATTTTTTAAAATTGCGCCAAAATCTTTTTTTAGGTTATGTTTATTTTGGTCGTTTGCAATTTCGGTCAAACGAAAATTCACGATTTTTAAAAATTCAATTAAATACACAGAAAAAAAAATCTTTATACCTGGAACAGCGATATTTTCACTAAAACAACGAAAGTTTTTGCTATTCTAAGGAAACATATATATACATGTTCCAGATAAAGATTATTTTTTTTCGTATATTGCACAGAATTTGTGCATAACCATATATAATTGAAGGTTATGTTTAAGTTAAACAAAAATAAATTAGAGAAAAGATATATTGTATATGAAAATAGAGATACATTTTGAGAAACTAATTCTGTTGGATAATAGTTTATATACTATATATTTATACTAAAATCCTGGTATTTATAAAAGGATTACTTGTAGAAGAGGATTCTCTCTCTCTCTCTCTCTCTCTTCCTCTCTTTACTAAATATATACAAACATATGAAATTTTCGAGAAACTTGACGAATAAACTAAATTTCAGGTGGAGTTGAGAAGTCACAATACGCTCAGCTACCAAAGCACATCATCAGTCGACATGGATTCGAAGGATGTTTAGCTTCACTCGATTTAAGTGGCGAGAGTCCTGATTTAATAACTGATGCTGTTGTTCCAAGTTCCATGGTGGAATCGGGCTGTGAAACAAATGCAAATCAACATCCAGGCAAAAAATGCACACACGATGTTTGCGCAAATCATGGCACTTGTGTTCAACAATGGAATAGCTACACGTGCGATTGTGATATGACAAGCTTTTCAGGACCACATTGCAGTGACGGTATGAGTATATATATAGCTCAAAAAAAAGAAAAAAAAATTTTTAGACTTGATCGCTTACAGAATACTTAATATTTGATCTAATCTTAATTTTGTCTAATTCTCACGTGACCTAATTTTTACTTAACCTATAATACACGCAAAAAAAATCTTCACCTAAAACAGCGATAAGTTTCTCTAGAATAGCGAAATATTTTCTAGAGAATAGCGAAAACTTTTGCTGTTTTAATTAAACATATCGCTAATTTAGGTAAAGATTTTTTTGCATGTACTATTTTAACCTATATAATACAATTCAAATTGTTATTTAACATATTTCAGTAATCTATAATTCCTAATTAACATAGTTTGAAATTTCATCAATCTTTTTCACCTAATATTTAACTAATTCCTATTTGGCCTAATTTTAGTATTCAATGCTAAATTCTTATTTGGACTAATTTTAATTTTATCCAATCCTCATTTGACCAATAATCCTAATATATTCTAATTCTTATTGAATCTATTTGTCACTTGACCAAATTCTTATTTGGCCATAATTCCTATTTAGACTAATTTTTACATTTAATCCCAATTATTTGATCTAATATTTCTTTAACATAATTTCTATTCAATCCTTAAATTCTTATTTGGCCTAATTTGTACTTTATCGAATCCTCATTTGCTCAATAGTTCTAATATATTCTAATTCTCATTAAATCTAATTGTCATTTGACCTAATTCTCATTTGGGCTAATTCCTATTTAGCATATTTATTATATAGACAAATTTTTACGTTTATAATCGTAATTTGTATTTAACCTAATTTCTTTTTGAAACTATTTTTTATAATTAATCCTAATTCTTATTTGGCCTAATTTTTATTTTCTCCAATCCTCATTTGGCTGCAATAATTCTAATTTTTATTCAATTTAATTGTCACTTGACCTAATTCTCATTTGGCCTAATTTCTACTTAGCATAATATTTATATGCTCTAATTCTTATTTGACATCATTTTTTTATCTAACCCAATTTCCATTTGAATTAATTCATATTTGTCATAATATTTATATAGTTTAATTTTTAGGCCTAATAAAGGCTTATTTAAAATTAGATTAAAGTATGTTAGAATTAGGTCAAATAAGAATTAGGTTTTCAGTAAAAAAAATAGTTAAGGAAATATAAAAATTAAATCGGATGAAGATTAGGCCAAATAATAAATAGATTAAATAAAGATTAGACCACATAATAATTATGCCAAATATACAATAAATTAAATATAAAAATGTTGCCATATAGGAATTAGGTTAAATAAAAATTAAGCCTAATATAATTTCGGTTAATGAAATATTAAGTACAATAAGAATTAGGTTTTCAGTAAAAAATTAGGGAAACATAAAAATTAAACCGAATGAAAATTAGGCCAAATAAGAAATAGATTAAATAAAGATTAAATCATATAAGAATTAGGTTAGATAAAAATGTGGTCAAAGTGGAATTAGGTTAAATAAATATTAAACTATATGAAAATTAGACTGAATAAAAATTAGGCCAAATATACAATAAATTAGATATAAAAATTTTGCCATATAGAAATTAGGTAAAATAAAAATTAAGCCTATAATAGAATTTCAGTTAAATGAAATATTAGGACAAATAAGAATTAGGTTAATGAATTTTTTTCTTAAAAAAAATTTTTTTTTCTTTTAAATGCTTAGGACAAATTTTCTAATTTTTATTCTTTTTTTGCAGAATCAGTGGCTTATGAATTTGGATCAGGAAGGGGAATTATCACATACACATTTCCTCCTGACAGAAGGCCTGAAATGCAAAGGGACACTGTTGCAATGGGATTTGTTACTGGACTCAGTGATGCTGTTTTAGTTCGTATAGAATCTGCATCCAGCAACGATTATCTCGAAATTGAAATTGTAATTAATTTATTATTGATTTTAATTAAGACAATTATGTATTAAAAGGAAATTTTTTTTTTTGTCAATTAGAAAAATTTATGTTAAATTTCCGTTTTTATAATGCAAAATTAATTTTTTTTTATAACTGCACAAAATTTTCAATAATTCTGTAGAAAATATGAATATATTGTGGCACAGAATTATTATATAATTATATAGTTATAAATTAATTATAGTATTATTTTACAATAATTATATAGAATTAATTATTATTAATTAATTATTAGAATTATTAATATATTAAAATAATTATAAGATAATTATAAATATTTTAAAATAAAAAAAATTATAGAAAAAAAAATACTCAAAAATAATAAAAAAAAAATTTTTTTAGGTGGAAGGAAATGTGTTTGCTGTATACAATATGGGAACAAATGATCATCCACTGGGAGAAGTTGGCATTAAAGTTAATGATAATCAATATCACGTCATTAGATTTACAAGAAGCGGAGCAAATAGCACTTTACAAGTCGATGATTATAATCTCCAGTCCAATCATCCGTCCGGTAAGTTTCAAAATTAAATATAATTAAATTAATTTATCATAATTTTTTGCAGATATACTGCGAAAGCAAAAAGAAAACGTTTTTTTGGATTTTCCTGGACTTTTGTGAAGAAAAAAAAAAAGGAAATTTCCTTTTTTTTTTCGAAAAAATGTTGAATTTTTCTCCTTCCACTTTCTATATATAAAGGAACCATCGAAACTATGTTGACAACATAAAATTTTCTAGATTTCACAACAAAAAAAAATGCAACTCATTTTTTATTTTTACAGAGGAAATTTTAGTGTTATTAATTTCAGAAAAAGGGAAATTTTCCTTTTTTTTGAAAATCAGAAGAAATAAAATGGAAAATAGGGGTTTACTTTTTTTAGAGAAACAAAATTTATTTCCATTTCACAAACACGTTCAATTTTCCACACACACACAAAAAGATGTTTACTTTACTAAAACGATTTTCGTTTTTACAAATTGAATTTTTATTTTTATTAAATTTATAAATAATAAACTATCCTTTAAATTTGATTTTTGCACAAAAAAAAAACACAGAAACTATATCAAAAGAAGAAAATTTTGATGCTCGAATTTTTAATTATATATGGAAAAAAGGAGAGATGAGAAATTGTAAATTAACATTGGGAGAGGTACATATATATTTATAAAAGGTTCGCTCTCGAAACGAGTTAAACTGCGACTGCGACTGCGAACTTTCAATGAATGAACTCAAAGCCAAGGCTCGACTAAAGAATCTCTCATATATGGGAGTCTATATATTGTACAACGAACCGTGAGAAAGTATTTTCATTGGTCCACGAGTTTATCCCACGGATTTTAAAGGGGCGCATGAATTACCCATAAAAAGCATATTAATTAGAATTGTTTTTATAAAGTTTTATTTTGAAAATATTTTATTAGAAATAATTATTTTTTTGAACGAATTTCCAATTTTCGAATTAAAATTTGACAAAATTTTCTTTTTATATATGTATATACAAATTTTTTACATAACAAAATTTTAAGCTATACTGAAGTTTTGCCAAATTTTTTTAATTTACAGTAAATTTTTTATGTGATTTTTTATTTAAAAGAATTTTAATTTAATCGAATTTTAATTTAAAAGAATTTTCATTCAATGGAAATTTTCATGTGATTCAAATTTTTAAATGACAAAAGTTCACAATTCACCGAATTTTAATTTGTACGAATTTTTAAGGGGCCGAATTTTTATTTGTCCGAAATTACAAATCGTCCGAACAAAAACAATCGACATAAAGATTTCGGGGTAATTTTCGAAAAAATTTTCCAATTAGAAATTATCAAGAAAATTGTGATTGGACAATTTTTGAAAATTGCACCGACATCTTTATGTCGATGGTTTTGTTCGGTCAATTTGTAATTTCGGACAAATAAAAATTCGTCTCCTTAAAAATTGTTTAAAAATTCGTATAAATTAAAATTCGCATAAATTATAAAATTTTGTTATGTAAAAATTCGTATATAAAAAAGAAAATCCATCAAATTTTAATTCGAAAATTCGGCTTAATTTTTGTTAAAGTAAATTTAGAAATAAAAAAAAAAAATTTATTCCAATTTTTGTTTTCAAATTCCCTTCTATTGGGACATAAACCAAACATTCTCCACTCACTTTCTCTCTCTAAAAATTGAATCTTAAATCTGCTTTGACATATTCGATGACTCAAAAGGGGTCTCCCGGAGAGATATATAGAGACCCAGGTCAGAAATTTTGATGGGACTTGAAGAGAAGAAGAAGAAGAAGAAGAAGGGTGGGGGAGTAAGAGGGGGTACCTCAACACAAAAATTCCTTAAGAAAAATAATGTCGACCTTTTTTCAATCTTCTGTGATCCTGATGCTAAAATACGAGATAATTGGCTTCTTTTATAAAATTTTAACAAACCGTGACAAATCGTGTGTCACGTTCTATTCAATGAAACTTGAAAAATATTTTATCAATGGAAATATATCGGTTTACTGGAAAATTAACTTTTCACGCCTCTCGACACACACAATGTATCATCCTAAAACGTCTTATTTTTCAATTCAAAAACATCTTTTGCTCAAGATGAAATTTTTCTAAAGTCCCAGTTTAGAATATAGTATAAAAGAGAAAGAGAGAGACAAACAGACAGACAGATGAAAAAGACTTCTACGATTCTCCTAATTTCCTGTACCCAAAAACGGAGATAATTGGATTTTTAATCTTTCTTGAGATCTCAAAATGATCTTCTTGACAAATGTCGTGATGACATTTCTCTTTTTTGTATCGACAGTAATATATATATATACTAGACAAAGACTGCGCGCGCAAAGCGCGCGCCTTTTTCTTTGGTATTTAGTACTTAGTCAAAAAGAAAGCGAGTTATTAAATTTTTCTAAAAATATATAAAGTTGTTGCATAATTAATTTAAATTTTTGTTAATATCAGCAAAATACTTTGTAACTGCACTTTTATTACACTAAGTACACATAATTGTCAGTCTAACCATTTCTTGACAATCATAGAAAATTTAAAAAAGAGCCCGTGGAGAAGTTTCCCTAAGTTTCCTTATCGAAAACTAAAATTTGGTAAGTTTCTGATATGGAAAAATGCAGAATTCTGGTTAGGTCCTGATGTTTTTGGTGACGCTTGTTTTTCTCAAAAATTAGTTTTAATGGTTAATAGTGAGAAGAATAACAAGAACCCTACGATTGCCCTTTGAGAACTTTCAATTTAACTTTCAATTTAACTTTTATTTAACTTTCAATTTTTGATTAATTATAATTTCAGGTTATATTACTATATTATTCTTTATAAAAAATATAATTAAACTGTAAAAAGAAAATTTGTAGTTTATATAATTCATTAGAAAATATAATGAATTTAAATTATTAAGAATGTGAAAATAATTGTAAATATGAGGCAAAATTCCTGAAATGTCCAAACAAAAAATTAAAAGTTCTCGAATTTAATCCATACTTTTCTAAAATATTATTGAATTTAATAAAATAGTTTTTGAATTACAACGTTTTTAATGTTTGACTTTTGAAAAAAAAATTTTTTTCAATGTACAATATTTATAAGTAGAATGCATAAAAGTTAACATATATATAATGATTTTTAAAGCTTTTTTGACGGGCTACACGCTGTTAATAAAAATTTTTTTTTTTTAAATAACATTTGACCTTGAAATTCAAGGTCAAAATGTTAATTTACGTTTATCTCAAAATCCGATTTTTTAAAATTATGTTTAACTATCTCAATGGAAAGCTTGACTAATTTCCTACAAAACATGTAATTTTCAGAGTGGGATCTTTTAAAGTTTTTGAGATATTAATTAATTAATTAATTAATGTTTATAACAAATGAAATATTTTACAAACGAATACAGTTACCGTAATTCTGAAGTTAGCAATTGAAACTTAACGTAATTCCGCATCCAACGAGCCCTGTATGAAGTATTTTGGATAAGTAGATTGTTAATAAACAATTAGTTAACATTGCAATTGTTTATTACCAGTCTACTTATCCAAAATACTTCATATAGGGCTCGTTGGATGCGGAATTACGTTAAGTTTCAATTGGTTAATTTAGATTTACGATAACTTTATTTGTTTGTAAGATATTTCATTTTTTATTGTTATTTAACTAAAATTGAACAAAAATACTTCATATGGGGCTTTTGGATGCTTGTTGTTAGTAAAAAATAAAATATTTTACAAACAAATAAAGTTATGGTAATTCTGAACTTACCAATTGAAAGTTAAGGTAATTCCGCATCCAACGAGCCCTATATGAAGTATTTTGGATAAGTAGATTGTTAATAAACAATTGCAATGTTAACTAATTGTTTATTAACAATCTACTTATCCAAAATACTTCATACATCAGGGCTCGTTGGATGCGGAGTTACGTTAAGTTTTAATTGCTAACTTCAGAATTACGGTAACTTTATTCGTTTGTAAAATATTTTATTTGTTATAAACATTAATTAATTAATTAATTAATATCTCAAAAACTTTAAAAGATCCCACTCTGAAAATTACATGTTTTGTAGGAAATTAGTCAAGCTTTCCATTGAGATAGTTAAAAATAATTTTAAAAAATCCGATTTTGAGATAAACGTAAATTAACATTTTGACCTTGAATTTCAGGGTCAAATGTTATTTAAAAAAAAAAATTTTATTAACAGCGTGTAGCTCGTCAAAAAAGCTTTAAAAATCATTAGGGTCAACCGGGGTAAATCCGAACGGTTTTAGTAAATTTCAACAATAACATAAGTTTTTTCTTTAAAAAAAAATACTTCCGGTATTCTGGTGCATGAAGTTGTTACTTTACTTCCATAGAACAATTTTATGGGGTAGAAAATTTTTTTGATAAATTACAATCGCAGGAAACTTAGCGTTCGTATTTACCTCGATACTTTGCAACTTTCCTAAAATATGGGGGTAAATACGAACGCCACTGTATTTCAGAAAAATCTTAGGGAAAATAAATTTAAAGTATTGCAATTGTTAAACTTATATAAAAACTCAAAAAAATACGATAATAAACCTATTATGTAATAATGCATCATATATAAATACAAAAATCAAACAGGTTAAAAATTAAAATGCATTACACAATTAAAACCTTCAATAACTTTATCAAATCATAACGGATTTTTGCAAAACTTGGTACAGAAAGTATTTTGGAGTGATTGAATGTAAATACAAAAATAAAAGTGAAATTTTTTAAATTCAAAATGGCGAACTTTCCTAAAACTTATTTTTAAAAATGACCAAATTTGCTAACCCTGAAACCCCCCGAGTAACAATTTTCGAGCGAATCCAATGAATTTTTTAATTCTCGTCCGCCATTTTGAATTTTGAAAAACTGACTTCAAATTGGTAATTAGCGACCCCAAAAACCGTAGAATACCAAATTTTATTAAGATCCTGAAAAACTTTTTTTAACAAATTATTTGGCAAAAAAATTGAAACACTCCTTCGAGAGAACAGAGATTAAGTT